TGCACTGTCCACATTATTCCAATCTGTCTGGAAATCATCAACACTTTCATCCACCAGGGCAGGCAGGCGTTGCTGTGGCTGCTGGGCGCCTATGGGGAGAGGATTTCCAGCGCCCCCTACACGTTGGAAACGTTCATCGACGGAGTGAGAAGCGAGACCTCCATGGAGCTGAAGATGGAGCTGCTGACGTCCACCATGAGGCTGTTTCTGTGTCGTCCTGCTGAGACTCAGGACATGCTGGGGAGGCTGCTGCACTACTGCATCGGTGCGTGTCTGCAGTTAGACCACTGACTCGAGTGATAAAACGACAATTGGTACCAAACACAACGTTGTGTCTTACAGAGGAGGAGAGAGACATGTGTGTGCGCGGCCAGGCTCTTCTCTATTACCGCCTGTTGCAGCGTGAGATTGAGGAGACCCGAAATGTTCTCCAGGTCCGGAGATCGGACCCCTCCATGGGCGTTTTAATCGGCCGCCCGCCCGAACCCATTAGCCAGTGGGTGAGCAGCTTTAACACTCTGGAGCCTCTGCAGCGCTGTTCAGTAGAAGTAGAGTCAACCAGTAGGGGGAGCCCAGAACACCTGGCATCTATTCCCAAACCAAACGCCGACCTTCCGGACAATCTGGACTGCAGAAAACTTGAGATGGTTCATTTAGGTGAGCAATTAAACTTTCATTTGTTTTCTGTTTTGCTCAGCATGCTGGCATTTTTGAAAGTGTTTAGACAAACACGTTATGTTTGCCGTGAAACACCCCGGAAAGTCCTGATGCACGTTTGATATTTACTGTTTTAGATGTGCTCCCATGCAGAAACGCTTTTGTGTGCTGTAGCTCAATGACGTGCATTCATGGTGTCCTGCTGTGTCATGTCGGCCAAAATTGAGGAGAAAAACAAAACATTAAAAAGTTACACAACTGAAAGAAAATGAGAAGCTGTGAAAAGCAGGTTCATGGTTTCTCTGTGTACATTTGTTTTCTACTTTTGATATGCAAGGCAAAATAAGATATAAAAAGTAGCCTGGATCTGGGGAAAAATGATTGAGACAGAAAATAAGATTTATATATAGAGGTGGGAATATCTGGGGGGGGGAAACTACACATTTTAAGAAAACACAGTGAGCATGTAGGAGTTTTCCAGGAAAGAAAAAACCTTATTGAAACATATATCACACATAACATAATTCGATCAGTGTCTTCTTTGTAAAGCAATGCGTGTTGCTTAATCACTCACAAGCAGACAGGAGCTTATTTTGGCAGAGGGAATTTGTGGTGTTCTGTACTTGCCCATCATACAGGCTAACTCATCACTTTGTATGTAAATATATTTGACAACTCATAGAAAACGCCTCAAACTACAGGAAGCATGTGGTTTTAACAATTCTGTGTACCGTGAAAAGGGAATCCACCCCATGTCTGCTGGGCATGAAGTGAAACACAGTCTGGACTTACTCAGGCCTCAGAAGCATTTAGCATATGATAAATTACATTAGACTATTGTTTACTGAATAAAAACTAATCTGAATTGCAGCAGCAATGAGTGATAAACAAAGCAGCTTTTAGAACCACTGTCGGCAGCCTTGACCTGAAATGGTTATTTTCTCTCTCAGTTTTCACTCCCGGACCTTTCTGGGGAATTTTATCTACTATTTGCTAAAATATTCTTGATTTTGATGATGTCATTTGTCTAAATGTAAAGTTTATTGATTCCCAACCTATGGCAATTGGTCATTTTAGGTTTTCTTTTTATGTGAATAGGGACAGACATCATAAGTTTGTACTTCTTTTTAAAATTTTACTTATTTTGATTATGCAAATAATACCTAGCTTCCCACTTGTTGCACGATATCTTACATCTCACAATAGCAAATAAAAATTAAAGGAGGCACAATAACTATAATAACTAAGAATAATTATACATAGCCATATGAACACATACATACATATTTGCACACACATATTTGCATAACAAGCCAATATATATAATAATACCTTTACAAATACGTGGCTTCCCTATCATCACCATCTCAATTTGTAATGAACAGTCTTACCCGCGATATGTTTCTAACATCATATTTTTACACATTTTCTTAAACTGTCTGATAGCTGGACTTTGTTTGAGCTGGATAAATGATTCCATAGCCCAGCACCAGAAATAGATACAGAGAAACTTTTGGTTGTTCACCTGGTTAAGATTTTAAAGTTATGTTCCCCTCCTAGATTGTACCCTCCCTCAAGGTTCTTAAATAAATATTGAATATTTTCTGCTAATTGTCTCTTATTTGCCTTGTACATGGTAATTGCTCTCTGGTAAGACACAATATCAATAAGCTGTAGTAATTTTGACTGCTTAAGAAGTGGATGAGTGTGTTCTGGCTTCGTGTATAGTGTTCCATTTCATTCATGATTTCTTTTCGTCGTTACATAAACTATTTGTATTTATCATTGAGTGAATGAAATAAAAAAAAACATAAAATGAATTGAAAATGAAACTATGTCACTTAAAGTACTTTGAACTGCCTTGTTGCTCAAATCCATCCAACCATGTGAAATGTGCAGTACAAACAAACTTGACTTGTTCATTGAAGCACACAACAGTCACATCATCTTCATATCCGTTGTGGTGAGCCTTGCAGTGATGGGTAAACAGGGAGAAAGGGGCGGGGCTTCTCCAACAACTCGTCAAGGTTAAAAGATTTAAAAGCTGATCTGAGATGTTCCTTACCAAGGAATTTGGCTTTTCCAAACAAATGTTTTGAACGTAGGGAATTTTGAATGTTTGGGGTTTAAAAGTAATTGGTGTCTCTGTTATTTTTGGATGAAATGCCTTTGTGTTAACAGAAGCTCAAGTTTTACTCACTATCTGTAATTATCTCTATAATAATTACACCTTTTGGCACCGTGGGCATTTTCTTTTCATTTCAGGTCCTTTGCCTTTACCTAAAGAAAATTATTTTATTTTGGTAACCAGATCTCCCCTCCATTGCGAACGTGTTGTTAAACAGTTAAACCAGCAGCCCTGACATGGCAGAGTGTTGCAATAAGGAGCTGGATTAGACATGCTCCAGACATTCTGACCTGTTTGTAAGAACCCGGACCAATCAGGCAGCATGACTCCTGTAAACACAGCCTGCATGTGATCGTTATCACGCCTGACCAGTTTTGTGAATTCTGCTGCATAATGCTTGTTGTGGTACCCCGCAGTGTGGTTTTCTGTCTCAAAGCGTGACGGGAATAGCTGCAGAGGGACCATCAAGGTCATTTCATATTGAAATGTTGCTCCTGAAGTGCGTTTGGCTCTGCAGATTTCCCCACAGTGTGTTTCAGGAAGGAACCGGCGCAATAGAGACTGAGTGATTTAGAGTGCAATGACCAAATCCGGAGCTGAATCACATTTCTTCCATCATTGTGTTGCATGCCACACTTATCATGCTACAAGAGTGTATTTATAGCTCTGACATCAGAGGTTCCTGTTTACTTCCTGCTAATCTAATGTGGCTGGTGGTCGTTGGTGCACAACAAGCACAAGACGCTCGGATCAGATTCGATTTAGTTTGATATCAACCGATGATTGCATGTGCTCGAGTAGCAACTGTGTCTCCAGCATCCTGACTGTGCGCCTCTGTTCGTCCTCCAGGTTCAGACGGCACCGCTCAACGTTTGGGCGGCCCGGCTGGCCTCCCGGCTCCTGGTGCCGAGCCCAGCGTCACTCTGTCTCTTTCTCCACCCGTCACCCCGGACGAGTTTGAGCGCCTGTGGATGCAGCGGCGTGCTTCGCATACAGAACAAGGTAATGGAGCGGAAGCTTCCTCTTGCTTGCATTAGACAGGATTAATGTAAGTGAATAATGTAATTTTACATCGCTTCGCTTACATTAAGCGACTCGGTCTGTCGAGGTCCTGGATGTGAAGTTTTCACCTGAATGTTGTTACTTTCTCTATTTGGAAACAGCTGCAGTGTCTTATTAGACCACTTTAACATTAATGTCGTTGCAGCCTTTTTCTGCAGTCCGTCTGACAATTTAGTAATAAGCAGCTGAATAGTTATACCAGAGGTACTATTAAACTGATTTAGGGTGTTTTCACACCTGATAGTCCAGTAGAATCTGGACTATCAACTGGAGACCAGAATTGCAACATTTGTTACATTTTCAGCTGCTGTGGATTGTTTTCACACTGCACTGAGTCAAACAATCTAAACTAGTTGAAAAACCTGTTCACCCCCTCACATGTGGTTGCACTGCGCCAAGAACCGCTGAAGGAAACAACGCAAAAACTTCAGAAGAAGACACTGATCGCAACTTCTTTCTTCACCAAATGTAAACAAAAAATGGTGCGGCGTCAGATTTTAACAGTTGTAAGATCTCTCTTTTGTCTTTGGGAAAGGACCATGAGACATTTCTCCTGCTGGCACTGGCCTTCCCCGTTTGATTTACTGGTATTTACCCACATAATCTGGTTCCTGTTTTTGGCCTTGTCTCCTCTCAGCTTTCATTCACATATGCATTTGGACCAGATCAGAGTTCACTTCAACCGAACCGAGACCGAGGTTTGTAGGCGAATCAGAGTTCCCTTTTCTGACCCAATCAGAGTTCGAGTACTAACTCTAGTTTGATTACTTTATTCAAATTAGAGTTTGACTAGAGCAGACTACACAGAGTTGGTGTGAATGCAACCTTAAGAGTAGAAAAGAAAGATGCTTTCTTCAGGTAAACAAATTTTGAAAAATTGACCTTACAAACTCAGAGCTTTCACTTTAGGCTTCTAAGTTCACAACACATTTCCATGCCTTGATTCTATCTACCTGGTCTTGGCTTCATATTTAAATGAATTATTATGAATGCATTTTGGCAGAAAACCCACAAATATTGATGTGTATCTATTCAAATCAAAGCAAAGGCAAATATTTTTGCTTCCCCAAAGACCAAAGCTGTTTGATAAAAGCAGCTTGTGACATTAGCATCAACAGAAATCTGCTGTTAACTTTGGCTCAGTGTCTAAAAACCATGTTTCGAATTATTTTATTTCTTTGCGGGAGAAAACATGGAGGGATTTTCTCCGTGTAACTCTTCCATGAGTTCTCTTTTCATGGCCGTCTCTCTTTCTTAGTGTTAAATCATTAGCATCGTCAGCAGTGCTTTCCATAATGTTCTGGGTTCTTCTGTGACGGCCTGTCGTTGACACGCTCTTAAAGTAATTTCAGTCAGCTGTTCACTCCCGAGAGTTTTTACCATTGGTGGGTAATGACTCCCACTGTGGGACTCTGGACTCCGAGTAGCGTAGAAAAGACTTTCCAGACTCATAGAAGCCTCTTAGCCTACTTCACGCTGTCAGACAGGTTCCATCTCAGAGATTTTTTATTTTTTTTATTTTTTACTCCTTAGATCAAGCATTAATCTGGCCAGAGCTTGGCCAGAGAAAATGATCTCAGCTTCCCTAAAAATGTGATTAATCAGAGTTGATTTATAATGTAACAAGGCAGACAGTACATATTCTCATTCATCCTGCTTTCCATTAATTAATAAAATCCTCACAGAGGACTGCTTTTTAAATATACTTGAGCTGTGTCTTTGTCCATAAAGTCATTTAAAAATATTTGTTTCATTTAAAACAAAGTGTGAGGGGGAAAAAGTGTGTTAGAGAAGAATTGCCACGTCACGTTTCACATTCCTGATCTTAAACTGTCCATGAATGAACAAAGGCAGAAATATTCCCAAGCGTTCCTCTCCGACACATGCGAACCATCCAGATCTTTTACTATTTTTAGCTGGTGCTATCATCATGACTTTGAATATTATAACAATCACTATGAATAGGCATTAAGAAACATTTTCATTGTGCAAAACAGAGAAAATTGGGTTTCAATAAACATTTATGTAAACTAGCTGGTTTACGTAATCCAGCCTCTAACCCTAATCCTAAACCATGAGGTCTAGGTCTCATGGTTGACCTAGACCTGGACCTCAAGCCAGCCAAGGTCTGGCTTGAAATCTGAACCTGAACCCTCAGAGTCACATAAAGACAGTTACAAAGTCAGCCTTCTGTCACCTGAAGAACATTGTTGTTAGTTTGTGAATCACTGAACGGCTTAGCACCACAAGATCTGCTGTTGTTGTATCAACCTTCTGGACCTCTCAAGTCTTCTGGTTCTGGTTCTGGTTCTGCTCTGCATCCCCAGAACCAAACAAGGAGAAGCAGAATTCAGCTTNTTNTTTTTTTTAATCAAGGCTTAAAAACCCCACCTGTTTAGAGCTGCCTTTGATTAATAATAATTGAAACATTTGATGTGTATTTGATGATAGTTACTCTTGATTGTTTTAACAGTGTAATGCTTGTTGCTTGTTTGCTGTTCCCACTATAATTGGTTATTGCGTTATGCTTTCATCACGTGAAGCACTTTGAACTGACTTGTCGCTCAAATGTGCTGTACAAACAAACTTGATTTAAGCCTTCTCTTGAGCAGCCCTCCATGTCCACGCAACGCAGCTGCAGCTGTTTATAGGATTACATCGATGACATGTGTCACAGTCATTCGCAGCACATTGTGTGCTATGCAGCGGAGAACACAAAGAGACAATGAATGTTTAAGATTAGTCATTTTTAATGAGAGGACGGAGAAGACATTTTTGACATCTTTGGGATTATAACGAGCTGCTACCGTAGCTACAAAGAGAGACTGCTCCTTATTGCGTTAGCATTGTGAACAGAGCTTAATAAAATTACAGTCAATTACATGGAACAGGCTGATCCCTGCTGTGTGATGCACTGCAGGATGCGAGGCTGGGTTTACAACTGAATTAGTATTTCTCAAGATTATGCAAAAACTACATCCTTAGCACAAAAGGTGAGGAAATTTCTGTGTGATTATTTGTCTTTTTTAACAATCCGCCGCTCCCGCGTCATACCGCCTGTACTAAAGAGGATAAAACATTTTGTTTCTCTGGCACAACCTGCATTTCCGCCTCTGCTGATCGACCCGCATATGTGTGCATAGTATTACTTACTAATGTGGCATCACTGAGTGGAAACCAAAAGGTTTTCCAACAGTTTAACGTTATCAGTTAAACAGTTTAGCTGTTATCTGAAAACTGTGTATACAGTAAATAATCTGCTAAAAGACGAGGCATTTCCTCTGCCCTGTGCCCGGCACAATGTCTGTTTTTCCCCTCCGAATGTTATTGACCCTTAGTTTAGGAAGGAAGTACTGAATACAATAAAGGTAAATGTCAATTAAATTTAACTTTAAGTGCATTGGGAATCAGGTTGTAGTCTATAAACCATGTTATCTTTCATTAAGCTTTCCAACAAATGCAACTAAAGGTTCTTGGCCAGCCTCGTGATATACTGGACTAGAACACTTTTCACTCCTGTGGACTCGTGTAGAGTTGAGAATAAAATGCCCTTTGCTCTCCATGATAGGGGGGGAACAGCACTTTTAGTTTGTGGGATGAGAAAATGGTTGATTGTGTATTTGCAAGACATAAAAGCAAAGTGTCCCGTTTTCGGTTTTTACAGCCAGCGTGAAACATTTCTAAACTTTAAAACTCACTTTTTATTGGCACTTGAACTCAGTTTACCTTGGCTTCACGTATTTAAGAGCTATTACCACATTTACAATTGTTGGACAATAACTTCAATTCTCCAACTTGTCTTGGAAAATAAAACTTTAGCTTATTTACTGGGAAGAACGAACTGATAATGAAGGTTTCTGAGCAGGTGTTATACTTATGGGACAGATAACGGGGTTTTCAGTGAAGATGATTTTTCTTCTCTTTCCAACCAAAACTCCTTTGAACCAGGTTTGATTTAAGGACAGAGGTACCAATTAACCAGAGATGGGAGAAACTTAGAGAAACTCCTTACAGGAGAAAAATGGGTGGAAGGCACTGTGTACATGACTGATAAGATATACTGTAAAAGGAGAATTGTATGCGTTAAGTTTCACTTCTTCTTCTTCCTTCTACTCTCTTGCTTTTCTTTTCTCAGACGCTGATATTTACTCTGATTTTCTAAATGAAAGATCTAAAGACAAATGCGCATTTCTCTGATTGATTCAGTGTTTCTCTCTCTCCCAAAACGAAAAAGATTTTTCCTAAACAGACCAATAATAAAGCAAAAGACAAACTGATCTACAGAGACAAAAAATTAGAAAAGAACAAGAAGAAGGAGGGAACAACTCAAACTCGGTGTCAATTTACTTAGAAAGCACTTTAAAAACAACATGAGCTGCTAATAGTTGTAGGGTAAAAACAAAGTAATAAAATCATCTCAGAAAACAATAAAAGTCACCAGGCTTTACTTAAATACCACGGAGCAAAATTGAGTCTTTAGAGGCACCTAAATTCACAACAGGTGTTTGATCCATGAATCGATCGATAATAAATGTCCTGAGTCGATCAGAATTGAATCCTTTTTTCCAAAGTAATTCCTGAATCACTGGATAGCTGAATGGGTTGAATAGCACTTTGCTCCAATCTGATAGTTGAATAACATTAAAAACAACAAACATCTGTGTTGCTGAGCTCATATCTATTTAAGCAATAATTTAGCAGCAAGAAGGGATTTTGAATCAAAAATATTTCTTATCTGGTCTCTATATGGTTTCCCGTCATTAATTACAGACCCTCCAATTAACTTGATTAAAAAATTCAATGGAGTCCCACCACTATGTTTTTTTAATATGTGATCTCTTCATGTGAGAGTTTATTGCATCCCTAATCTGTAATAGTGTATTGATGACTTCGAGATTAGATTTAAATATAATAGTTAGTTACTCAGTTACATTTACTGCAGTTCACTTTTTACCCGCTACTGTTACGCAAGTCATTTTTTGGCTACTGTCTGCAAACCTGCTGCTGCTTGTTTCATGACGTTTGTTAAAGATGTTTCTCATTCTGTTTCAGCAGAGTCGGCCGATGAGGGAGCTAACGGCACGTGGATAGAGGACACCATCAGGTGTGGGGCCGTGCCCCACTGCTCCCCACAGAGCCTTCACGCTGCCATGCAGCTCGTCAACATCCAGACACTTGCCTTCACGCCGACACACACGCTCCCATGGAAAGTCTTCCTTTACACGCACACCTTGCGCGCCGACACATCCTGCAGCACGCTGGTGCTGGGGGAGCTGCTGTACGCCGGAGAGCTAAATCCAAAACGCTCAGCTGAAGGAGAGATGGAGGGCAACGAACAAACGCAAGCAACGGCGGCTGGAGATAAAGAAATTAAAGTGACTCTTTGGCAGCAGCCGCATGATGTTAGCGCCCTGAGGGTCTTTCTGTCAGTCCTAACCACTGTACTGCACACACTTTCCTCTGAGGTGGCTTAGTTTATTTAAGCCTAAAGTGAGTTGTTTAGTTCCATTGTGATGTTATCCAGTGCTTTGAAAAGGGTGAGAAAAGAATGACTTGACTTTGACACTGTAACAGGAAAGTACACACTTGTTACAGATGAGGCTGGGTAAAATGTGCACAAAAGCTGTTCATATTCTCTGTTTAATCATATCCAAAGTGTGCTACACTATGAAAAGCTAAATAAAAATCAACTGAGGTTCATGAATCTCCTGTGTTCACTGTTATTTTGTTCTCGGGAAGCAGAGCAAAGAAGAAATCCTTTGATTCGTTTCTGGCCTGATGACAGTGGAACCACAATGAGCTGCTTTCATTCACAATCAATTATTTTCAGGTGGAGCTGGGATCTGGAGTCATAAATTATAGCGCTGTTTACCTAGAGACTCAGACGAAGGTGGTGTTACGCTTTAAACAGAAGCAACTTAAACTTCAACTTTAAACTCTTGTCTTGCAAATGATGTGTATCAGTCACTCTGCTTTACACACAGTAACAGGTTTTTGTTGCTATGTACGGCTATGTAATGTCTGGCAAGCATTTCTATTAGAAGTGAATAGAAAACAAGCAGGAAAGTAAAACTAGAACCTGCCAAAGTGTGCCCTTCGGTTGGAACCCAGTGTTCTGATGCTAAAAATTAGCATCGATGCTAAGTTTAGCTAAAATAATATTAATAGCATGTGGAGAATCACCAGCATGTTGACTGATGCTCTCATTTCGACACTCCAATGTGGTTGTCAGTTAAGAGGTACCAAGTTTCATGAGTCATATGGTACTTAACACTTCCTTTGCTCTTCTTCCATCTTGTCTATATTAATAGTGTTATAGTGTTCTGTCAAGGTGCTATTTTTCTACATTTCTAAATGCCAGCTCTGCCCTCTGTAGTAACTCAGTGTTCCACCATGTCTGTAGTTCTGACACTCCGCCATCACTGTAGTTCTAAAGAGCAGAGGGGCAGATAAAATTCAAAGTCTATTTTGAGTCTAACTGACACAAAACAGTGTCAGAACTTGTTTTGATTTGAATTTGGTTAGTTTTTTCTTAATTATGCATAGGAGCAATGCATGCTGCTCCTATGCATTGCTATGGCAGGCCCTAATTAATGAATATGTATTATTATGTGCCACTTTATACTACAGTCAAATAACTGCTACCTTCAGTTGTTATGAAAACTCTGTATATATATCAAAAATAAAAGAAATTTGACTTGGTATCATAGCTGTATCTGGCCCCTGAAATTGGCCTCTGTCTCTTTAAGAACCTCCTAGCTTTCCTAACACTCCCCCTTCAGCATGTGATGACAACAGTGTTTCTCCATGATGGTGTCTACAATCATTTTTCGGAGTGTTGCAGTTTCTATGATGAGCTCAGCAGATATGCAGTTCCACCACTGGGTGTTTGCTAACTGCTACTGCCACTATTGTGGAGGAGCCGAGTAGGGGAGGTGCTAGGTGGGAGCGCCAAGCTGGAGCTTTGGGTAAGTAGGCAGTGCATTGTATGATCAGGTGTTAAGACAAATCCAAATCACAGGAGATTCAAGGAGTCCTCAAACATGTATGAATAAATCAAGGCAGAACTCAGTTGAAGAACTGATGGATTCTGACAATGGAAAATAAATGTCACCTGTTTTCCCACGGGTTTGTTTTAGGTCAGTCACAATTATCAAAATTATTTCTATTTGCTAAATGACACAGGAGTGAGAGAATTTTTTATTACTGTCTTCAAAATCTGAAGTTTACATACATTTCCTCAGTATTTGGTAGCATTCCATTTGAACTGTATGACCTTGGTTTCGCCTTTTGGGTTTCCTTCCAGAAACTTCTCTCTCACAATAGTGTGGTTGGAATGAGTACTGGCCTTTTCCTTCTGACGGAACTGATTGAAGTCCGGCCCGCCTGACTCACACATGCCTTTTCAGATTTCCTCACAACTTCTCCATTGGATTAAGATCAGGACCACAACAAAACATTGACTCTGTTGTCCTCAAGCTGCTTTAAAACCACTTTGGCTGTGTGCTAAGGGTTATTGTCCATCTGGAAGACCAATCTACTTCCTGGCTGATGTCTTTAACTATTGCTTTAATATTTTTGCCATGTAATGTTCTTTCCTCATGATTCGATCTATTTTATGATGGAATCATAAAATTCGTACAGCAGCAAAACAACCCCACAACATGATGCTGCCACAACCATGCTTCACAGTTAGGACGGTACAGGCATCATCCTTTTTCCTCAAAATGTAACAGAGGTGCAAAAAACAGTCCAAAATGAAGATTTTTGTCCCCGTGTGGATTTGCAAACTGCAGTCTGGCTTTTTATGTTTCTGTTGTGTGACCTTCCAGCCCACGACATTTCACTGTGGATAATGACTCTTTGTCACCAATTTCAGCAGCATCTTCACAAGATCTTTGGCTTTTGTTCTGGGGTCATTCTGCACATTTTGGACCTGAACCTGTTCATTTCTGCCCGTTTCCTTCCTGAGCGGTGTGACAGTTGTAAATTCCCATTATGTCCATACTTGGATGAAATTGTTTAAAGAGTTGAATGCTGCACCTTAAAGCATTTGGAAATTATTTCCCAAGTTGAACCAAACTGGTGCTGCTCCTGATTCTCTTCCTGATATCTTGGCTGATTTTTTTTAGACATTCCCATCGAGTCCAACAAAAAAGCAGAAAGTTTCAGGTATGACCTTAAAACACATCCACAGCTGTCAGTTAACCTCTCAGATGTTACCGAAACCATGACATCGTCATCTGAGCTTTCACTAGTTATATATAGTAATCATTCTGAATTTAAACTTCTGCTTTTGAGGCCATTAATAGATAAATGTTTGACATATTCTGTCTCATTATTCTGGCATTTAATAATCAAAATTATTTTGGTAATTGACCTAAAACAAGAGACATTTGGTCTGGTTAACCTACAGACGGGGAGAAAGACAGACATAGACCCGAGTAAACTTTTGGTTTCAACAGTTGCTTCTCTTATCGTAAGCTAGAAGTTTACATATATTGCATAAAAAGAGAAATCATCTTAATTTTCTAACTATCTGATGTTAATCAGAGTGCTGTGGTCAGTAAGGTCCATCAGTAGAAAACTTATGAGTAACATATTTAGTTTGGAGAAATCTGATTGTTAGTTATATGACTCAAGAGGAACGAGACTGGAGTCAGCACCTCTTAGGGAGGGGGTAAATCCCTCACACTGATCATTTAGGGATTGGATGAAATTAATTAGACCAGGTTTAAGAATGAAGCATAACAATGTGCTACTATCTTAAACGGTTAATTTACGGGAATACATTCTCGGTGTCATTTCTGAATCTTTCCACGCTGGCTTTTCCTCTCTGTTTCCGTCTGCTAGCCCAGCCCCTGAGTGTAACTGCGCAGCGGATTGGGCCTCGTTCCGGCGTTACGACACACCCTCCCTCCGCAGCCGGGGCGCCGCCACCTGATGCTTGGCAGCCTAAACTTCAGTCCTGACAGAGAGCAGAGGAGCACAACGCTGCAGCTCTAGCTGTTTCCAAAGCATTCAGCTTCTGTCTGTGGGTTTCTGAGGCTGTTTATCCATGATAAGTACCATCCAGGGGAGGGAGAGGCGTTGACTTTGAGGTTCCGCCGCGGCTCGGAGGCAAACTCACTGGAAAGAGAGAAAGGAAGTTTCACTTAAGAGGGTAAGCGTTACTGTAATATGTCATCTAAGATTTGTAGAAATGTCGGAAGACATGTTTTTTTTTGGTTTTGTTTTTTCCCGAGCTGCAACTGAGACATGTTACCTGTTGGGAACCGACGGAACAAACTCACCCGTCCTGTTGCTCAGGTTTTTCGACTGGCTGTTTTCTTAGCGGTATTTAGAAACTCTAGCGCAGACGGGACTTCGACTAACAGCTGAGGCCAAATATACCGTCCATCCGCCGCCTCGGTTATATTTGGAGTGAGCGCGAGCGCCAAGGCTGCTGGTTGAAAAGATAAACATTTCCTGATTTACTCTGTCTTGTATCCAGCAGAGGAAAGCCAGACCGTGAAAAGAAACTTCCATGAAGGGATGGGTTTTCAAACGATTCTGTCGAGTTTTTTTTTTTCTTCCTGTATTACAGTGCTACAATGTTCTGTTCAGTACTGTACAGTCATATAAAGTAGACACGTCCTGATAAAGTGTCGCATGGCTACATAAAAAGCACTTTGTGAAAATAAGGTACTTTTTAATAGCAGGTGGGTGTATACTATTATTTTTAGCAGGTAAACTTGCTTTTCATACGCCCACACATTGTAGTATTCATATTCATTTTTTTTTAATTGTCGCGTTTTCATTAGCTGCTAGGAGAAAAGTGATGAGACGATAGACATTAAGAAAATATAAAAGAATTTGTGTAATCACGTGTTTCATTTGGTGATGGAGTTACTTAAATAATATTCTAATTATTGAATATGTATGTGGCGCAGTTGGTAGAGCTGTTGTCTTGCAGCAAGAAGGTTCTGGGTTCGAATCCCGGCCCGGGCTCTTTCTGCATGGAATTTGCATGTTCTCCCTGTGCATGCGTGGGTTTTCTCCGGTTTCCTCCCACAGACTGTCAGGTTAATTGGTCTGACTAAATTGTCCCTAGGTGTGTGTGCATGATTGTTTGTCCTGTGTGTCTTTGTGTTGCCCTTTGACAGACTGGTGACCTGTCCAAGGTGAACCCCGCCTCTTACCCTGAACGTTAGCTGGAGATAGGCACCAGCAACCCTCCCGACCCCACTAAGGGACAAGGGTGTTAGAAAATGGATGTATATTGTATCTGATGTCCATGTGATCCAAAAATAACTAAAAGAAACCTTAACTTTAAAAACAATTCAGTTGTTTTTAAAACCTGTTTTAGTTTAATGTAGTTTTCACAACACCTACTTCTAGCTTAATTTGACACATTTTACACCTGGAGCTGTTTGTTTTTCCTTGGATTGTTCTATCTACAGCAATATGTATCTGTGATTTTTGTGCATTATTTGTCACCATGTATTATTAAAAAACTAGAAATGCACTAAATTTTAAAAAGTCATACAATATCACAACAATTTGAATTTATTGCCGACAATATAACAATATTAACCGCAACAAATCCACATTTTTCTTTGTGCTTCCAGCAGTTTGTGTGACATTTATCATCTGGATGATTGCAACAATGTCAGGTGTGAATATACTCACAATTTACTGCACCAAATGGCTCAGAATCGCTTTTCAGTTCATAGAAAAATGGAAAAATAAAACTTAGTTGTTTTCAAAACAAAATATGCTCTCTCCATCACAATTTGGAATCCCTAAATGTCTTGTTGTTGAACAGACCTCAAGACAAAGTACAAAACAGTTTAAGTCAAGAGTCGGCAGCCTTTATAATCTATAACCAATTTTTCCCCTTTTCCCTACAAACAAAATGTGTTTAGAGCCGTAAATCTGAGTTAATCCCCTCTTTTTTATGTACACTTACTGTACAAATCCTTTTTATATTTTATAGTTAAAGAACAAAAATTTTTTTGATCAATTTTAGATTTCAAAACAACAATAATAAAGACATTTTCTTGAGTGAAACATTTCATATATATGAATATGAAAAATAAAAAAAGCATGTTGCTTGCAGCTAAATCACAAAATTAAGAACTGAACAAGCAAAGAAAAAAAATCATAACATCAGTGTTATAATATTGTGGGAAATTTATGCAAATATAGGATAAAAACATAGAAAATGGTGGAACGAGTTTTTGTCATTTGTTTTTATAATCTATACATTAAAGAAATTGTTGATGCCTTTGCCAAAATGACACTAACAGTCAAAATCTTTTTTTTATTTTTATTTTTTAGCAAAGTGATAAAATAAAAAGGAGCTATGGTGCAAAATCAACTTTTCACATCATGTTAGAATGTTATTCCCTCTCATCAGAAACAAATCTGGAGTGTTGCTTTGATTCTTTCATATATTTTACACCTCTACCTGAAGTACTAACATAAATGTCACCCAAAATTAAACAAAAGATATATTAGGCCTGAGAAGGTTTATGGGTCTATGTGAATCATAAATTGGTAAAACATTGATGGGGTGTAAGATCCGAAGACATGGCGAAAACTAAACAAAAGGGAAAGAAATCAGAGGACACGGGCTGTTCTCGCTGTTTGCCTACGGTGGAGGCAGATCCCAGTATTTGGAATGGAAATCAAATGTACTGTTGGAGAAGAATAACAACTTCTCCACACATACAAATGTTTTTCTTCTAATAGCTAACTTTGATTTGGAATCTGTAGATCAAATACACGGAAACTGTTTTTAAAAATGCAGTTATATAATTTTTTTATTTATGCTTTCAACATTTTGTAATTGCTTATCAATATTAAAAAGTATATTGGAAAAGACAAACCACTCAAGTTCAACACCTGAAGATGCTGTTTACAGCCCTAAAATAGCTCCAAATATGTGAAAGCCCAATCTGAACAGCGGATTTTTTTTTTTTTTTTTTTTTTTTTCCAGGTTAACACAGCAGAGACTTTAAAGTTGCTTTCGTAGGTTAAGGAACACTTATGAACTCAAAAGCCTGTAATGAACAATGATTAATCTGGGAGAATTAATCATTCTCCCAGATGGATTAATCTGGGAGAATCAATCTGGGATTGATTCTCCCAGAATCAGGCGTAAGTTAAAGTCCACAAAATCATAAATGTAGGTCGGAAAACTGCAGCAGCTGCAGGCTTGTTGTGTCAGGCTGTGAGGTCTGAGTCCAGCAGAGGGTTCCAGAGAAACCTGCTGTCAAGTCTAAACGTAACAAAATACTCCGCACAATCTGTTCCAGCACATTAGATTATCACTGGCCTCAAGTTGAATGTACCGCTCTGACGATGCAGTATCTTAGTTTTAAAGGGGCAGTATTACCAGGTGTTTTCCAGCTGTATGGAATTATTTCATAGCAGAATCAAGTAACTATGTTACCTTCAGTTGTTATAAAAAGGCTCTATATATCTACTATGACTTAAAATAAATCTGTTTGTTATTTAACGTGTTGAATTTGGGCTTCTGTCTCTTTAAAAATTCCTGCTCTTTCTGAAACTCAGCCTTCAGGAAGTCATCATAATGTCCCTCTTCTATTAAATCTTTAGCAGGTTTAATAAATAGCTGGTTTTTACAGGATTTCACTGAGAATCAGTTCGTATAAAGAGCTCAGCAGATGTTGTTTCACCAGGTGTTTGCTATTTGCTGCTGGCTAGTCTGAAGGAGCTGAGTGAGGGAGTCGTGAGAGGTGGAAGCTTGGAAACTGCAGCTCTGAGGAGGAGCTGTGTGATGAAGGCAGAGCTAGGTCCAACCAGGCGTTTTGCACAGCTGAATGGTTGCCATGAAGGTTAAAGGATTTCTCAAGCATACATGAAAGAATCAAAGCAACACTCCTGGTATGTTTTTGATTAGGGAATAACATAAAATGACTTAAAGGTCAAAATAGTTGATTTTGACCTTTTATTGATGCCACCCCTTTTAGTTAGTGTAACGATGGAGAACGATCTTTGGAGTTCAGATCTCCAGAAGACACAGTGAGTTTATCTCAGTCTGGACACACACGGCCTGGTGTTATCTGTATCTGAACCTCCTGAAATATTCATCCCCCTCACAGCTGAATTATTTACTGTTGCACTGACTTGGTGTCACCTCAACACAAATGTCGATGTGTTTGGATGTTTAACAGGAAATGCGACGGCGTTCTAGAAAGAAGAATGCAGTTCTGGGAGTTCTGCTTCTCATCACTGTCCTGTACTTCCTCTATCCATTCGATTTCCTGCTCACGGTGAGACCCCCCGAGCTAAATAAAAATGAGGTGAATCCTGTCCAACAGGAAACGACACCTGGAAATGTTTGAGTCTGCTCTGTTTTCCCCTCCAGATGTGGTTCCACGAAACAAGCAAACATTGGTCGATTGTGTCTTTCAGGGTTGGAATGGATCGGCTCCCAAGCAACTGAACTGGCAGGTGGAGAGGCTCGTCAGTAAGGAGTCCTGGGCGGAGCAGGGAGATTATCTGCCTCTCAATGTGACCTATCAGCTGCTGGCAGGAACGCCATCCACTCAGCAGAGTGAGTTCCACTCACAGTTGACTAGTAACTGGTTATATTTACTCAGTTACATTTAATTAAGTAAAATTATGGAGGAAAAAAATTTTCTTTTAGGAGTATTTTTTTTACTATGCTGTACTTTTTACTTTTACTTGAGCAATTTTATCATGTGTCACTTACTCTTTGAGTAAAATTCCTGGATCCTCTGCCCACTGAGAGTAATGCCACTGAATGAAGGACAAACTTGTTTTAATCAAAACTTCACCACACATGCGCAGACACACATCTGCAGTTCATATTAACGTTTTACAAGTTTCACATCAAAAGAATTTGATTTGGTTTCTTTTGCCTGATTTTTTTTAATGAATATGTTATTTACATGAATTATAACATAGGTCTTTAAATCCCAAAATTCCCACATAACATTGTTAATCTCAGTAAAAGGCAGTAATCCTGACCCAACAGTAAGGAAGAAACCGCTGCTGAGTGACTAAAAATTACTCAAAGTGTGAGCTGATGAGCCAAAGACTTTTGGAAAAACATTCACTGCAAAAACACAAAATCTTACCAAGTATTTTTTGGTCTAGTTTATAGTGAAAATATCTTCATTAACTTGAAGTAAGACAAAAGAAACTTATAAGAAATTTTTCTGCAAGATATAGGAGCTTATTTTTTAGACAATAATTCCTTAATATTGATAAAAAAGTATCAGTTCCACTATCAGATTATTCCACTTTTAACTGCACATTTTTTCCAAATAATCTATCAAAGGAATTAGTACTTTTAAAAAAAATAAATATTAAGAAATTATTGATTTAAAATAAGCTCCTATATCTTGTTGAAAAGTAACTTATAAGTTAGTTTTGTCTTATTTCCATTGTACTGAGATTTCTGCACTATGAACTAGACCAGAAATACTTGGTAAGATTTTGTGTTGTTGTGTCTTGTGGACTGATGAGACAAAAGCTGAAGTTTGGAAGGTGTGTCCTCCTTGCATCAGGTGAAAAACTAACACTTTTAGCACTTTTAGTGATGATTGTGGGCTGATTTACTGATTCAGGACCCGGCTCTGTTGATTGAACCATGAATTCATGTCTCGTAAAATGACCATCGGTCAGTTCGTGACCTAAAGCTCAGTCATTTATGTAGCAGGACGAAGATGANACAAACCACCAAGCTCACCTCTGGACAGCTCAGAAAAACCAAAACTAAAGGAAAGTTTTAGAGTGGCCTGGGAAAAGCCAAGGGTTAAATCTGATTGAAATGCTGTGACGTGACTTCAAATAGGCCGTCCATGTCCGAAAACCCTGCAATGGGAACAATTCTGCGAGGAAGAATGGACCACAATTGCTCCACAGTGACGTTACCACAAACACTTGATGCCAGTTGTTGCTGCCATACGGCTAGGTCGGTTTGATTGGCTCTTCTCTTTTAAAACATAACATTTTTATTAATTTCGTATTGATTAAAAAAAAAATCAACAATCAAATTTAGTTGTTTTTGAACAATTAAATGAACTCTAAATGACACCATTAATGAAGTGACTGTTCTGGCCCTCTTTAAACCTCACTAAAACTCTGACATTGTAACCCTTATCGTATAAAAACCCGTCAGCGTCCCTCACCCTCCTCTTATCTGTAGCAACACACTTTGTAAAAAAAAAAAAAAACCCTGTAAAGCAGATTACAGTCTGCCTCTATCCATCAACTAATGCCTTTAAAAACACTCCATCATTAAAACTGCATGAAATAAAGCGGCAAATTAATTTATCTGTTATTTTCCAATTTAACTACAGTAGTGGTCATTGTAAGTGTAACAATAATTTGAGGAGTTGTGTGTTTTCTTAAAAGCAAAAGATCAACATTTGTTGGGTTCAGAATATTAGATTATAAAAAGAATTGCCTCATAAACTCCTCCATCCAAAAATATGTTTATGAAACATATTTTATTTGTCTGCCTTGGAATGTATTCAATAAGTTTTAATATTGCCACAGACCATTTATTTCACTAACTCTAGCCTTCATTTATGTTTATAATGAGTTTCTGCTAACAGTTAATGAAAAGAATATTTAGAATTACATCAGTCATTGCATTTTAATAGAGAAATATGAACTTAATGAAAACGATGTTTAAAGCTGCAGCTGTCTCCATGTCGTGACATCATGTCATGAGACGGATAATCTGAAAAGATCGATCACCCCCAACTCCTCCCTGAGCTGCTGTTGTGCATTTAAAGAAATGCACAACTACCAACCAAAAACAACCAATTGGAGTCAGTAGGAGGGGCTTAGCGCTGTCAGTCATCCTCATGTACTCACTGCTCAATGAATTAATGGTGGAGAAACGACGTCCAGTCACAGGAAAACAGTTTATTCTCCATCATCTATGGCCATGCTAACTAGCAAAGAGCTAGTTTGCTCTTTGCTCGCCTGTAGCAAAGAGCAGAGGATGTCTATTTTTTCTCTTTTTTTCCCCCACAGATTATCTACCTCACACCATATTATCACGACAAGTTCTAACAAATGTGTAAAAAAAAAAAAACAAAAACAAAAAAAAAACATTAATATTTAATAAAGGTTGTTACTTTCAAAAAGTACTTTTCAGGCCTCATGTTCTAAGTTATTAATATGACTGTATGTAAATTTTAATTCCTGTTTGGATACATTTCAGAGTTCCTAACCATCGGCATGTCGTCAGTCAAGCGGAAGAAGGGCAGCTACCTGGTTCCCACGCTGCAGTCGCTCTTCTCCCAGTCGTCTCCTGAAGAGCGCTCCTCCATGGTGGTGGTGGTGCTGATCGCAGACTTCAACGTTCGCTGGGTAACCAGTACCGTCAGGGAAATCAACTCAACGTTTGCCTCTGAGCTGGACCGAGGCCAGCTTTTAGTCATCCACGTGTCGCAGAAGTGGTACCCTCCTCTGACAGGTGCAGCATGATGAGTTCCAGCCATGCAAGAAGCTTGAGTAATGTTCTTGCCGGTGGTTTATTCATGCAAATCTCTCTGCTTCTTCCTGAAGGCTTGAAGAGGAACTACAACGACGCTCCCGACCGGGTGTCGTTCCGCTCCAAGCAGAATGTGGATTACTCCTTCCTGATCCACTACAGTGCAGGTCTGGGGCAGTACTACCTCCAGCTGGAAGATGACGTCTTTTCAGCACAGAATTTTCTCACAACTATTCGGAAGCACATTGAGGAGCAAAACGCAAAAAAGGGCAGGTGGGCAATGTTGGAGTTTTCAGCCCTTGGTTACATTGGGAAACTCTATAAGTCCGCCGACCTTCCTCTTCTGGCCCGCTTCCTTTTTCTCTTTTACCAAGAAATGCCTTGTGACTGGCTGATGTCTCATTTCCGACAGCTGATGACCCAAAGAGAGACCATCCTCTTTAAACCCTCGCTGTTCCAACACATGGGCACTTTTTCGTCATTCCAGGGAATATACAACAAGCTAAAGGATAAGAACTTTGAAGAGGGGCTATACACCAATCCCTCAGCTGAAGTGTATTCAAACATTTCCACCTACCAGAAGTACTTCCCCAAACTGGCCTGGGATCCCGGGGAGGGCTTCTTCTGGGGGCGCTCTCCAGAAAGAGGAGATTATTTGACGGTGGTGTTCCTGGAGCCTGTGGTGGTGACAGGGATACTGGTGGAAACGGGATCAGGAGGAAAGGACCTCCTGGACTCCGGTCAGGTGGAGCTAGGCCAAGACGTATTCACTGCAGCAATGAAGAGCTGTAAAACCTTCCAGTCACTGGGAGCTTTTATGAATGGAAAATTTGAGATGCGAGAGGTAGACAAACTGCACAGCTCTGCTTCTTCGTGTCTGAGGATATCGGTGACCGCCGGGCAGAAAGACTGGGTGATCATTCGGAAAATAAGAATCACAACGAAGTCCAGCGCATCCTGACGCCAAATGTAGCTGGTTTGTCTGTCTTTCAGCCTGACTAACATTTGGCTTTCCAGTTGGAGTAAGGCATCCAACTGGATATACTGGTGGTGGTGACGGGAAGTTGGGGTGTATGGTGCTAAACTGTTTCTGTTATGAAACATTGACCATACCTCAGTGGAGCTGCTTCCAACCTGGAGATGTTTGACCAAAGCAAATGATGTACAGAAATTAAACAGCCATAGTAAATAATAAACTAAATCCATTTGGTCTTTTTGTTTCTTACTGTAAGAATCTGCAGCATTTTTTTATGCTCCATTTTTCTCTAGACTATTGTATTTGTACCTTTTTTCTTAAAGTATAAATCATTTTTTGCAAATGTTTTCTTGCATCACATTTTCTAGAAGGAAACCTGTGCTACCTCACAGATCAAATGTGTCATTTTCTTGGACCAAAGCTTGTGTACTTCAGTCTTTAATTATATGTAAAACCCTCAGATCTATCTGTAATATCTATCAGAGTAGCTGCGTTTCCATTGACTATATGATTGCGCAATTTGACGTATCGAAAATAAATTTGCTGCTTCAAAAATACAGGTTTATTACCAAGAAGTTTGGCAATAAACCAAACTTTTTGGTTAATAGAAAATATTTTCTATTGGTTTATTTTGCAATAAACCAATAGAAAACCTTTTTTTTGGCATCACACAACTCACTTGATCAATAAATGGATATCACCATTGGTACAAACTGCAAAGAAGAATACAGGAAGTAGTAGAAGGATAATGCAGTGCTCATGTGTAATTTTAGTTGCGTTTCTTATTTAGTAGAAACACCGCAATTGTGAAATTGTTTTTTTTTGGGTTTTTTTTCCTCCAGACAAATCAATTGTTATCCTTTATCTGAAAACTGTTTCAAGGTAAAAGATGTGAGATTTGTTGTCTGACCAAAGCTGTTATTTATGCAAAGGTGTGAGTTTGTCACACAACAAAAACTGATGCTAAATGTCCTGACACCCAAAACCATTAGAATTATGCACCAACTGGTTACTGGTTCAAAGGTTTACTGATAAAGGTTTTTGACTTTTATTATAATTATTTCCACTTCCACGGCTGTGTTCAAAATAATATTGTTCTAGTCCAATAAATCAAACCATTTTTGGCAGAAATGGTTTCTATGTGGGAAATGATTTACCAGCATTAGAGTAATTGGAATCCAGCAGTCGTGGCATGGAGACTGTAGATATTTTAACTGAAAAGTATTCCTCCTGAAAATCTGGGTAAAATGACTTGTTTCAGACACTGATCAGAAGAACAGCTTAGGATACTGATTATAAAGATAGTGAGGGGAAAACATATGAAGTTCAGAAAATGGCCAGTTGCTCAACTAAAATGACCTCAGATTCTATAAAACTGAAACCAATACGAGAAAGATTTGGAGGAAAATAGAAAACTACATTTTTGATATATTAAAGCATAGTCTAAACAGCCAATGATGATGAAGAGGGTCTAGAATTACGTGTTAGGTCTGTAACATTTAGATAATTTCTATGTGAAGCTAGTCTGGCCATTGCTTTCCTATGCAATTCCCCTCTATTCTCATCTCCCTTCCATTCTCTGTCAGGGATTTCTCCTATTGAACTCGATTTCTCAGGATTTATGTCATCTAGGCCAATCAGCAAACAAAAGGAGGAGTTGTGAACATTTTTTTTAACTTTAATCTGCTTGTGGTTGTCGTTTTGTAAAGGGGGTGGAAGAAGTGAACAAAGCCATTCAGTCAGAGTTGACCTCTCTTCCAAATATTGAACAGTTAAAAGGGCATCAAGAGGAATGTTTAAGACATTAAACATTAAACCCTACTCTACACAGTGTCTGGCAAAAGTTTGCTGATTTTCCAGTTGGCTCAGTTAATTTCTGGTAAGCTTCATAGCGTTTCTTCTTCACAATTGAGCCAGTACATTTCATACAGTATGCCACCGCCAAACTTTAACGATTTAGTAAAATCAGTTCCAATCATTTAAAACTTCAACAAAAAACACAACTCCAGCAAGAAATCGTTCCTTTGTAGCCGAGGGTCCAGACCCTCTGTCCGAAGCAAAGCGTAGAAGAAGGGGCTGCTTTTTATCAGGCTAAAGTGAAGCAAGAACCTCTCTCCAAGTCCCACTGTGGTAGATGCTTACAAATAAAAGTGTAACAATGTAGTTAATAAAAAGCTAATAATAAGTTACTTACAACGAAGACCACTTGTTAGGCTAGGTCAGAGGTGACAGGAGTGGCAGTGTGGGGAGCGGCTACAAAGAAACAATTGCTTGCTGGAGGCGTGGTCTTTGTTGAAGTTTTAAATGATTGGAACTGATTTTACTAAATCGTTAAAATGGTTACAGGCATTGAGGGAAATGTACAACGAGATGTAGAAGAGGTTGAGAAGTACAGACAAGATGCCTTAGAGGTGGGTCTTTAAGAGTTCCTTCAAAGTAGCCGGGGTCAGCACTGTTCTAGCATGGCTCTGTAGATCATTGCATCATCTTGAAACGACACATGAAAACAATCTGAAATGTCTGTAACCGGCGTGGGGACTGCTGGCCAACATTCCTTTGACAAATAGAGTGACCGAGTTGTGACAATCCTTGGTGACATCTTTCAAGTAGATGGGAGAAGTTCCATTAAACAGTTTGTCTGTGACTTAAATTTAATTTGAAATTACATGCAGAGAAGGTTATGATTTGTGAAAGAGCACACTGACTGGCCAGAACACTGCAACAACACAAAAGCTTACCAAGTAGTTTTGGTTTAGTTTCTAGTGTAAATATCTCAGAACACTTAGAGTACGAAAAGCAACTTTTCAAGAAAATACTGAAGCTGGTTTTAAGTAGATAATTCCTTAATATTGATGAAAAAGTTCTAGTTCCACTAGCAGATTATTTTACTTATAACACATTTTCCCTATGATTTGAATAAAGTCTAGATGAAAGCACATCAGCCTAAGATGCTAACATCAGCTTGTCATACTTGTGTTCCTGTGTCAAGAGTAGAAAAGTAAAAAGGGATAACATTTGGTGCAATAAGCACTTTAAAACTACATTTATATTTTTTGGTTATATGTTTTCTATTTTTTCTGTTTCAAAATCAAATAATTACTTTAGAAAGAGCTGTTTTTTTTCTTTTAATGTTTCCTGTTTTATATAAAACCATATTATATCTCCATTTACTGAAGGTTATATCCGCGCGTGTATGTGTGGCAGTCAGTTAAAATTGTTTTCAAAAGTGTGAAAGAACAGAAGAACTCCTAAGGCTAATCCCTAATCTGGCATGAGCAGAAATAAATTTTACTCAAGTATTTATTTGGTTAAAACTGCCGACATTTACATTTATAAGTCAATAACACAATATAAACATGTTTTTGCTCTGATGTAGGTTAAAAAAAAAATAGGACAAAATCTCAGAAAGAGGGAGTCCATCAGTCGCAGCAGTTAATCTGATAATCCCTGCCTTGTCCTGTGAACATTTACAGTACACACCAGGTACAAAATGGCCTTTGGCTCATCCAGCTGTTATTATTGCAGCTCTCCATTAACATCATTTCAACATGCTAATCCCTTTCCTTTGAGCAACTATAATACCTTTTGTTTCCTCACTATGAAACCAGCTTAAGTGAATTGAAAATAGAAGTATGCATGGTGCAAAAAATAATAATATTATGAAGTCATCTTAACTCTTTAACTGGCACGATGACACCGGCGTCCTGATGGACCCATTGACTTACATGCAAGCATTTTGAGGGTGACAGCTAAGGGGTTTTAACATGTTAACCTAAATTCCACAGCAGCTTATTTACATTTATATAAACATCTTTGATCAAAATGTAAGTCTTTTGATCAAAATTGAAACTGACATGCATATCTGCCAGAGATATGCATGGTGGATGAGCTGGAGGAGAGAACAATCCCTTTTTCTTCTGTGGCGTTCAGTGACGCTGGAACTCATAACACTGATCAGCTGACAGAACAATGAGACACACAGAGCTGGGACGGTGGCTTCTATCCAAATCATGCAAGTCTGTTAAACATGTTTCATTTGCTTCAAATGTGTTTGTTACTAGTAACATTGTTGAACAGCTTCTGTTATCTTTATTTTATTTTTTTTTACCTTTTTCTCAGATATTTAAACTTAAAGGAATAGTTCAAATTATTCTAGCTAGCGCCACTGTGGTCTGGGGGCTGATCCTCTTGCGTTTCCGTGGGGACTGATCTGTGGGGCCAAGGCTTGGCTGGAGACCCAGGCTTTGGGGGAGGAGCTTCAGATAGGCGGTGCTTTGTATGAGCAAGCAGTTAGGCACAACTGAATGGTTGCCAGGGGAGATTCGAGATTCGAGGATTTCATAATCATCCATGAAAGAACCAAAGAACATGCCAGGTACGTTGTTGATGAGGGAATAACATTATAATATGATGTAAAACCCAAAACATGATTTTTTATAGTGCCCCCCTTTAAAGTGACAGTTCAGATTATTTAGAAACCATCAAACATTTGTTGAAGGTTGCATTTAGATATTAGGTTCCAAAAATGTATTAATAATCACACTTTATTTGAAAAAAAGAGAGAGAGAGAAACTCTGCAAACAGATTAAGTCAGGTACAGTATCATTACATATTCCCAAAAGTATTGGACTCCAAATGCCCCAATAGTCTGCAATAAGTTGTACTCTGACTCCCTGAATGCCATGTTTCGAATGTTACTCTTTATTCATTACAGTTGTCGCGCCGTACCTTATGATTCTGTGTGGCGTTCCCAATATGGACTCTGGTATCTCCTGGGTTTCACTGCCAGCTCTACTTATCAAAGCCTGACTCTCTTCAGTTGCACTTATTGGCTTATCCTTCTGTGTGGCTTGGAGGTTTTGTTGAGCAGCAGATCCAGTCTCATGTCTCTGTGAGCCCTGGCTCCCAGCAATGGAGCGGCTCTGAGACTCCGACGGGATTTCAGCTTCTTTAGACGGGTCAGCAGCAGGCGGGGGTTCGTCCTCGCTGGTCTGAAAGAGCGTTTATTGTATATTATTATTAAAAAACAATGACTTGTCAAAGTTAAAAAACCACAATGGAAGAAGATACCAAAAAGGGTGAAACAACAAACAAAACAATTAAAGATAAGAAATTCTTCTGGTTTCTCAGTTTTACAGTTTCACTGATGCTCTTATTTGCTCAGGTATGAGAATTAATAAAATACAGTGTTTGTTACTGGCTTTTATCCGAAAAAAAGGATAAAAGCCAGTAGAAAAATTATTGCATTTTGCAGTCATTTTTTACAGTGTATTTTCTATATTTACATATTTTTTCCAGGTTCATTATATACATAGTTTCTCGAGTAATCATTTTATGTATATTTTTTTAATTGCCGTCTGGGAGAAGACTTCAGCATAGGAGCAGAGTCTGTGTTAACCTTTATGGTCCGTTCAGTTTGACCAAGATCCCAGGTGGAAATACGAGGAGGAGGAATGTCCTGATGTTGGAATTCTGACAGGGAAATTTGGAGATTGTTGAGCAGCTATTTACTGTACAATCTATTTATAACCATTAATTTTTGAAGGCACAACATAGAAACAAATACATTGTTATCAGGTTGTATTCCTACTAGTGTTTATATTCAAAGCAGCCAGTCACACAGGTTTGCTGACATGGAAGTAAAACAGGTTCAGTTCTGGCATAACAGTCTGAATGACTTTCCCAGAAAAATAATTTGCATTATTATCATTGTTAGCAGTAGCAGTTAGCTTGATAAGCAGCCAGAACAATAGCCTAAATGTAGACAACTGTATCTGCCATGGACTGGCGACCTGTCCAGGGTGTACTGTTGTTTCTGTCTTTGTCATGTTCCGGGGATGGAGATTCAAATTCAATTCACGTTCTTCAGATCATTCAAAATTTGTGTCAAACATTTTAGTTGGTCTTCAGCAAAAAAAAAAAAGAAAAATGCATTTGTCCTGCTTTTGCTTTGCAGATATTTACAAAAGTTTAAAGGTCAAAAGATCGACCTCCATCCCCACATGACCCAAATCAACTGAAATTGGTGTCTGTTGTTTGCAATGTTTGTGTAGAAAACTTTTTTGTTTGTGTGTCTTTTTAAAGATATTGATAAAAAAAGAAAGTTTCCAGAGTTCACCAGGGATCAAGCCCAAATGGTTTAATTTTTAACTTACATTTTAGTGGTTTATTTATATGGGATTCAGGGGAGGAATCTAAAGTATCACCAGAAGACACCGCATTTAGCACTTCACATCTTATAATGGTATTAATTTCCCAAAGGAAAAAGCGAAGTTGTTTATTCCCAAAGCTCTCCAAGGTGACTTAATTACTCTACTGGGGCTCCTGTTACTTGGAAAGAGAAATAAAGAGAGCCTATTGTGATTCGCTTTTCTCTCAGTTAAAATGTGCACAATCTGCTTCTACAGAAGATACATTAGAAATGTATCTCCTTCAAGTCATTACTGAAGAAACGTCTTCAAAATGTTTTGCTGATGTCGATGGCCTGTTATTTAGACAAACAGAAAGCAGTTTTTTAAAAAGGAAATTTAGGCCTGGAGATGTCCAGTTGTGAAAATAAATTAGGGTACCACATGAGATCTGAGGTTTTTTTAAGATTAGAAAACACAGATTTTTGTTTATATATTTTTAAAAAAGAAAGACGATTAAAGTAAGAAACTGAAACAAAAAAAAACCTTGACTGCACATGATTAGAACACTGTTATAGGCCTTTTTTGTTTAAACACGCATTTATTTTTAAAGTAGAACAAGTAGAGAACAAAACAACCAATCCAGTTTCTCAGAACACAAGGGAAAATTAAGAAGAGTATATCCATTAATCAACTCTAGTTATTTAACTTTTATAAAGCAGTACCAATACAAATGCCCTGGATGTTCAAAAAGTTTATTTTTTACAATTTCACTTATCTCTTCAGCTACACACTCCCAAAACTTGGATATGCAGCAGCATTCCCAAAAAGACAATTTTTATCTTTCAATGGGCCTTCGATGGTCAAAGACATCAGAGAGCCTTTCCTTAATTCTGAGTGAAAATATCATCAATTTGAGAAGCTTTGACTCAGATTTCTGACCCCTTCATATATGTGTGACATATACCGGGTTTTCCAAAAATATTTTCTGTGTTTTGCAGTCTGGTTTGGGGAGACTTAATTAAAACAACCTCACCTTTTTACTGCATCAGCCCATGCAAGGCTTGCAACTATGAGGAGGTTTGCAGAGAGCACTTAGCTGTGACCGGCCCTTTATGAAATGAGCCGCGCAAGACTCATTCAAAGGACGCAATGCAAATATTTGCAGCAGCAGGAGACGGTAGTAAAAGACAAATCTACTGCAACACAGATGGGACTGTTTACATTACTAACCGCCGTGAAATTCAGGCCCACAAGCATTTTTTTTCTTTTTTTCTTTTGAGAATCCCAATCAATAGTTATGTTTCCATCCAAATGTGGCTTAAGTTGTTGTGGAAAACCCTGCAGTCTGTGATCCCCTAGCTGACAGGGTGAACACCAAGTCCTTTCAAAATCTCTGACGACTATAAAAGTTGTCTACTGTACCTCAGAACTCAGCTCAAATGTATCCCAGTTACTCTCCAATTACTGTGTACAGTATTGTCACGAACAGAAGAGAGAGAACATCTACACTATACTCCCCAGGGCAGTTTCGGAACCATTCAGACCTGAATTGGGACCGAAACGCCTCATGTTGCTTGGGTTGGTAAACGCCTCCGAGGTGAGAACAACCTAAATGACTCACAGTCACAACAAAAGGATCAGTGACTCATGGTAAAAACCGTCTACCGGCAGAACTTGACCGGTTAGAATTTTTACTTCCTGCAAGTTACATAATCTGGGTCAAACTGGGGGTTAAAAACCTTTTGAATGAAAGGTGAAACATCTACCAGGAAAAGACAAAAAGCCCCATTATTAAGGCACCTGGGACCACCGAGCCCTGGACGTACATAAAGAAATCTTAAACATGAAAACTGCTATAATCCATCAATTTGTTATTGTTGAGTATTTTTATGGATTTCTAATTGATTTTTGTAATAATTAGACCAACCAGATCTCCCATATGTAGCTTCTCATGGTCAGAAATAAAAAAGTCAATCTAAAGTTGTACCAAATTAGCTTAAAAAACCGTCTGGTGCCGATGGTATAAGGAGTTTGTTGTGTAATACTTATTACAGGACATCTTTTCACATTGATGTAATTTGGAGGAATACAGATAAAAACAGCTTTGATTTGATTGATAAAATAATTGAATATTTAAACGCATAATTGTAATTGTGAAAGTTGTATTTATTTGGCTAGAGAGCCACATATAAACTTATGGTGGGCTGGATTTTGCCCCTGAGCCTTGAGTTTGACACATGTGCTCTAAATGCTCCACCTAGCTAACATTCAGTCCATGTGAGATGACATGAGGGTAGCTTTAGACACTAACTGGAGTTTAATAACCATTAAATATCATTTAAAACACAGTCTGAAATAATCTTTTGTAGTTTTTCCATCTTAGCAAATCAGGACTTAGTTATTGCCTTTAATTTGGAATAGTGGATTCGTCTTGTGGTCTGGAATATTGGAAAAAAAATGTATTTCAGTCTCTTATGGTGGTAAGTTATGCCACTTACTATCAGGAAGGAAAAAAAATGATATTCACAGATAAGTGTGCTGATGTTCAGACAGCACTATGTTACTCCTGCCATAAAATTACAGATTTGTTGGATTAATGCACTCCCACACGCCAGTTCCAGTGTGACCTCAACAGAGGTTTATACAATGTAGAATTTATGACATGCTGTTTAAATTGTTAAGCAATCCCAGGGACTACTAGCTAACAAGAGGGAATTTTGTGTCCATATAATGATTTATGTACTCTGTTTTTCTTTTAAATAAAAAGGAAAAAAATTGTGTTTGGAAGCACTTTGCTGTTTGATTATTACTCTCCCCTTATATGGCCTTATATAAGGCCATATAAGTGTCCTTTTAAGGCCACTTCCTTAGCTATATAAGGACAGCTATTATAAATTGCATAGTCATCATATAGCCACATTTAATTAGCTTATAAGCAATGTTTGTACACGTGAGGCAGCAATACGTCCACTTATTTAGAACAATAATAGATACAGAACGTTCAACGATGCAATAGACTATGAGGTTACCAGGCAACAACATGAACTGTGGTAAGAGGACGTTGATGGAAGATAACCTGCTGAAGGTGAAAGTCCACCAGTAGAAGCAAGATAGAAGTTGTGTGTTTGAAAGTGAGTCTGAAAGAAGCCTGAAGGCCTCGGTTTGTGACACGGTGGAGGTAAAAGGTTCCAGACCAGGAAGCAGAACACACCTCTCTGCACTTTGCCTACTGTTAACCACTCCTTACCCCTCTGACACAGTGTCTTGCCCACGACCAAACTAAATAGATTAAAAACAAATTTAAAAGCAACAAATTATGAACACCTCATGAAAATACATTTTGAAAAAAAAAAAAAAGTTTAACACAGCACATAAAATTGACTTTGGTTTAACTTGATTTATGAGAATCAGACTGATTGATTTTGGCTGCACCAAAATTATTAGTAAATTGTTAAAATTTCCACATTCCTCAAAACGCTGGATGAGGAAAGCATAGCAATCAGGATGTGCAAAGGGTTGGAGTGACGTTAGCGACAAGATGGAGGCAGATAATCTGTTGTGGAGATCCTTCAGTAAGGGAGCTCAAAGAAGGAGGTGAACGTATCAAACTGTTTGTGTGGACCTGACCTTCTTCCCAACATCTGTGTTCCTGCTGCCTCTGCCTGATTGGGATTTTCCCTCCTCTGGTGGGCAGATTCCCCACAACTTGAGTCTCCTAAGACCGTCCTTTGAACGGGCAGTTGGGTCGATGTGGTTGGCTGGGATACGAGTCGGTAAATCCCAAGTGCCCTTAAAATCTGGCCAGGTTATGCCTTTCTGTAAACCGCATTAGAGACATGCAGAATGCTCCAATCAGAGAATGCCTCAAACAAAAACATTACAAGTAAGTAGTTTAGTGCGCAGACCTTCACCCCTGGGAGCAGATGACCCCTGCTGTTCACAATGAAGGAGGTGTGACCCACGTGTGCACTGGGTCGCTGCAAACAAGGAAACCCACAATATCATCAACTTTCTTTCTTTATTTCTTTCTTTCTTTCTTTCTTTCTTTCTTTCTTTCTTTCTTATTTATTTATTTGCCAAAATCACTTTCGGCGAAATAAATAAATGAATAAATAAATAAATAAAAATCACCACCTCGTTTTTGCCAAAAGATGATTTCGTGGATAAACAAACAAACAAACAAACAAACAAGCAAACAAACAAACAAAAAAAAAAAATTAGGAAAAGATGACTTATGCCTTTATTTTAGTATGGCGACGATATTTACAGATAATCATAGCAGGAACAAGCTGTTAATTTCCATAACTACCTCTTTAAAGTCTTTAGACGGACACCAGTTCAGAAGCCTCTTGGATCCGAAGGTGCCCTCGTACTTTTATTGAAAAAAAAAATACATTACTAAGTTAGAAAAACAACATGTAATTTCTTGCCATTTTCACGAAGTGAGTTTACCTGGTTGGCTGAGAAATTGGAAGACATTGCTGCATCTGCTACCTTCCGAATCTGTTATGCTGTTGACTGGTCGCTTAGCAACTCTGTTAATCTGAATGCTGCTGAAAAAAAACTACGGAAACCATCGAGGACAAGGGAGATTTTGTTATTATTGGGGCCTGCCATAAGCAA